GTTCTTTATTTAAATAATGTATTAATTATCCCTTACATGTAACCTTTCAATAGGAATAAAGTATCTTAAACCTCTTACAAATTTTAACTTAGCGTAAAAACTTGATTGCTTGAATTCAAGGCAAATAATTAGATAAAACTAAGAATATTTCACTAATTCTTAAAATTTTATAACAGCGGTATGTGTATCTATACAAATTAAATTGAAACTTTTATTTGTAATCCATTTAAGATATTTGCACTGCACTAATATTCATTTTTGAAGGACTTAAGCATTTTCAATAAATTAACATTCTATAAACGTACATTAATGCAACCAAACCCGATTAAAATCAATAAAAGTTTTACTTGATAAGCAATTAAAATCAGAAATATGCACAAAACAGGTAGCAAGGCAATAGGAATTTTGATTTCCACAAAAAACATCTTTTTCTTCTGGCCAAAGCATGTAGACAGAACTTGTTTCATCTTCTGTAAGCCATCACCTGCATTACCGCCTTTAGGCACTAATCAGTGAACAAAAGTTTAACACTAGGAAAGATATTAATTAGGTGAAACGACTTGTTGATTGCCCTTTAAAAAGGGGGAAGGAAATCTTACATTAGCCATTTTTAGAACCATTTTAGTTTCAGCTAAAGGGAAAAATTTTTGCACGCATGGTTCTTTATTATTGCAGTTTTAGGAACATAAATAGAATCGAATGCCCGCCGTCTGGTAGGTTAAACAACTTACATTGAAAGAAATGTTTAATAAAGTAAACAAATAAATATTAAGCCTTTTTTTTTTTTTTTTTTTTTTTTGTAAATTTTGATACCCTTTAGATCATAATTGTTCTTTATTTCATAAATTACTATTTCATATTTTAAATTGTATAATTTCTACATGCCATCTTACCAGATTTAAATTGATGATCTATAATCCGTAAAAAACCCTAATCCGGAATTCCCGAAGTCCCGACAAGTCCGGATTATGGACTTTGTGCTGTATTTCTTAAATGCAAATAATGCAGAAATACTTACACCTATTAAAAAAAATATTACTTGTACTTTCTAGCAACAGAAAAGTACTCTACTCAGTTTCTCTAATCATTAAGTACTTTAATGAGATTCCCAATCATGGATTGCAAAACATTAATTAATGTACTGAACTGTGGAATTGTGTTAAGAACATCGAATGATGACAAAATGGAGCATACGAAAAAGCAAAAAGTTTTGTTGAGGTCTGAAAACAAAACATGATAAACTTACAATAATAAAAAAATGCACCCCTTGTCAGGCGATTTTTTTTTTTTTTTTATTATTATTATTTTGAGAATTGCCAATTAAATTGCTCGCAGGTGCAGAAATTACTTAACTTTTCTCACACCTATTTTTAACAATGGAAGCAATGACTACATTTCCATTTAATTAAGGTATTTTATAACTTAGAACCTTTTACCTTAACTCTAGAAGCATTTATTTCTTTCTTAAAAAATATATATGAAATGGTCAACGATTCTAGCTAAACATTTCTCTAGAGATAACCAGTGTGTACATATTTATCTCAGATTTTTTTTTTATTTCAGTATTGTGCAGCTGTTGAAATTGTTTCCATTTTCCCTTCCATCTAGCAACCTTTCCAAGATAATCATAAATATCAACAACGTGTTCAGCCGCACTTATTGGCAAAGAAGCTGACCCTTTTTCACTACTAAATTTAAGAGGACAGGTGCCTTTCATAATTTGCAAATATGAATTTTCTTTTCTTTAAGATCCTGCAACATCAATCTTCAAGCCTAAAATTCCTGGTGCGGCACCATGTGCTAAGCACTTATCCTGAAGAATTGCACTTAAAAGTTTTATTAGTTAGCTGTGCTATTATTAAAGCCTATTGAATCTGTTCTAAAGTAAAGATAGAAAGTAAACTATACTCAATTTCTGAAGACTCTGGATTGAAAAAAAAAAGAAAAGAAAAGAAACAATAATTGGATACAATATTTCATCAGTATTATTACTTCCATCCTTAGAGAGGCGGAATGGAATTGTTTTAATGCAATTAAAAAACTGAAGATTTATTTTTCATACCACTTTCTTAAACTCATTTCTTCTACAACTGCAGTTGTTTCTCTCCTTGCACTTGAGTATTTCTAACCAATTTTACTGGCGGGAAACATTTTTCCAAAAAAACGCTGCAGCATGATCCAATGCATTTAATGGCAGGCTGAGCTCCAGTAAATAGGCGGAAAACAGGCATTTTGCATTAATAACTTTCTGGTCCTTTGTGTCCCATGAAAAAAAATTTTTTTTTCCTCAGTACAACTCACATTGTTTTTATGTACGCACACACATATTTAAGAACATCAGCCCTTGCACCGTGTGAAATCAAAAAATTGCAATGACTGCATTATACTTCCTTGATGAAAAATAATAGCAAGAAAGTCATCTGTGTAAGATTTTTGAAAACACATGAGTACTTTACATTTTTTGTAGACATAACTAAGACAAAGGTAGAAGTTTCTTAAACTGTTTCTAGGAAACATGTGAAACTTATGATGCTCACTGGTGAGACGAACAAAATACACAGCCTCAAACTTGCTTTGTGCTCATTGGTTAATATATGCCAGATGACCCTCAGCAGTGCTTGATTCTCACTGGAAAACTGGAACACAATATTTTTGGAAATGGTTTCGGATTCCCTTACATAAACCAGGAATGCACCACATCTCAGTGATTAAATGACTTCAGTTTTTTTTATATGCATCTAAAGAAAAACAAGCGCCTTTCAGACACCAAAAATCTTTTTTTAGGGTAAATAACGAAGTATTAAGCCAAGCTACATAAAAATCATGAGATATTTTAAGAATAAGAGAAAGTCGTGAGAAATATGTTAAACATAGTGTTGGTGTAAGACTGGTTGGAAATCAGGGGAGTTGGCAATTCTGTGTACGTATATACGCATCTTGCGTAGCTCAAGAACAAATAGCCATAGGATGGTGAAATTTTGTATATGGGACTGCTAACATGTAATTGTGCACCTTCCTTTTTTGTTGCAATCAGCTGCACCAATCATATATATGTCCTTACTTTAATTATTTGTTAATATATATATATTCCTACTATGTTACCCAGTTCAGTTTTTTATTCTTATATGTTGGTAAATTGTGCCTTTTTTTTTTTTTTTTTTGTTTAAAATTAATTGAATTATGTTTGTTCTTATATTCCAGTTAAGGTTTTTATTATTTTAGTTGATCTGCATGCAATAGTTGTTGAATTATAAACAGTTTAAAATGTGCTTACGTAGTACTAAGCCTAACAAAGCCACCATTTGTTTACATATGAAACTTTTAGTAGAATAGTGAATTAAGTCAATTGGTGCACCAACCTCAGCGTCTTTTTGCAAAGTAGGGCCAAAAGTAAACATTCAATTTTGTGCACCAAAAAATCTCTCGAATTGCTTGTTTTGGGGCACAAACTCCAATTTTAATTGTAAAAAATTATTTTTTAAACTGTTCTTAACTATACTTGGTGCTTTAGATTCTTCTGTATTTCCCAATTTTAATGAGGTACGTTTCTGAGTGTTTATGTATTTTTGCTTTGCCACAAAGTGAGAACTGAATTAATTGAATGAGAAAAACATCTCTAATGAAATTTGAGGAAATAAATTTAAATCAAATGCGGCAAGAAATGTGTACAATTTAATACATAAGGAAGTCAGTACTTCTCTATTTTCTATTTATTTTGGTCTCCACATCAGATACAAGGAAGTCAGAAGCTGTGCCAAAAAATAAAATAACATTTCAATACCCCTGAAATTTATATGAATGCAGTTTTATTGCATATATGCATCACAATATTAACAAATGCAACAAACTAGCTAAAATGATTATATTTTTTCATAACAGTTTGATTTGTTGACATGAAGTTATTCTTCGTAATTAAAGGGAAGAATCATGAAATTAAAGTAGATTTTTTGGTAATTCTGTGTTACAGCAATCCCAATGGAAGAAAATTACTCCTTCATGATTAATCATAAACTGAATACCAACCCTACTTAATCTCTCACATAACAATATTATTATTTTGTACAATTTTTTATTTCTTCTAACATCAACTGATGAATGGGAATTTTTCTGTCAAAAACAAATGTAAATGCTAGATTTTTAGAAATGGTGGTTGGGAACCCTAGAAACCTATTTCCAACTCAGATGCCTTTCTTCCTGAAGCTTTAACCTTGCATTTTCAAATGCTTTCATTATTGATGGATAGGTACATTTCAAAATAACAAGGTAAAATTCCTTTTCCTAGAAAAAATACTCTGCATGACTAGGCATCACTTTAAGTCGTACTTGGCAGAATTCATGAGGTGCTAATGCTTAAAAAATGAAAAATTCTTTTAAAGCTATACAACAACAGTTGGAAACACTACATGCAAGACATATATAGAAGGTGTAACTGTATGCATGAAATAAATGTCATAATTTTCTTTCATTTTATTTCTTGTCACAGTATTTTTGTTGTTTTTGTTTGTTTTGTTGTGTTTGTTTGTTATGTTTCGTCACAGTTATTTTTATGCCATGCAATTTGTGTTTCACAATTTTCTTTCACAATGATTACCGTCTTATCAAGTTACCATCAATACACCAGAAAAAAATTTTATTTGTTATTAGGACATAAAATCTCATACTTATGAAACACAGTACTAACAATGGCAATCTCTTCTCTGTCTTGTGGGTGACTTTAGTAGTAAAAATGCTTCTTAGTAAATGTAAATTTTTATATTAGTTTAAAAACAATGCATAATTATTTCTGTCATCATATCTTCCTTTTTTGGGGGGAAGGAGGAAGGTAATTTATTTTTAAAAAAATAAAAATAAAAACTCTTAACTCCAGAAATCATATTATCTCTTTTACCTGCATTACTTCTCCATCTATTTTTCTTACAACATACACAAAATTTAAATAAGAAATTAAATAATTAGTTTTTTTATTCTAGAATTACTTTTCAAAATTAAATAAGTCTTACCTTCAGCTTCTATATCTTGCGACATAAGTATTTCAACTTTGTCAATTTCTGTCATATATCCAAACATTGCAACAGCAATCTGTAGAAAAGAGACAAACAGAAGTTAACAACAAGCATAGAATAAATATATACAAAATAATGTGATTATTTGTTCCTAAAATCATACCTGTTCAAATGCTTCTTCTATCGTATCCCCCCCTGTTACGATCTATGCTAAGAAAGTTACTATTTCAATAATGTGTTACAAAAAATGCTGAAAAAAGCATACATAATTTTAATTATAAGAGTTAAGCTATCTTGGTAATATTTAAATATAGAACTACAATTAATTACGAAAAGGATACATGAATGCAGCCTAAAAAAAATAAAATAAAATAAAATAAAGAATCAACACACATTAACAGTTTTTATTGTTAATCACTCAAGTTATAATTCTAAATTATAATACATATCCTAAATAATGATAGATAATCTATAAATCATACTTACTGGACATCTGCAGGATGATCCAGATCTGAAAATAAAATAATTTTATATTAAAAATTTTTTTGGATAAAGCAACATCAGAGAATTAGCTTCCTATAATTATTTTATGTGATAATCATTTCAAAACATTACTAGCTATATGTAAGCAAGTATACAATTATTTTATACAATACTTTTACATTTTCATATTAAGAATGATTTCAAAATTCATTCAATTTGTAATTCAATTTTGAATTACAGTATTTAATCTTGTTTTCATACACCCGTACTTATTTTAGATTATAGTTTCCCATTTTTAACGTAGATCACCTCTTCTTGAAAAGCACTCCATCCTAAAAGCAATTTTCCATAGCAAATATTAGTGTATCTATTTTGAGTGCTTCATCATAACAAACCAATTTACTGAAATGACTGCAAGTATGCTTATAGCGAAACCTTAAAGAGCAAACAAAGAAAAAAGATGGAAGATATCAGAAATAAAAATTATTAAAGCATGAACTCACTTTTTTTTAATCGTAACAATTACTCAAATCATGTCAACACACTTTGATCAATCTGGCAATATTTGAATAACATTCTGATAGCTTAATGTGCACAATTCTTTGACAAATTTAATCTAAACGTTATTCAAAAATGAGGAATAAACAAAACTGAAATTTAAAAAATTGATATTAACCTCATATGATTATAGAAAGAATCAAGCACACTATAAAAACAAAAAGAGACTGATAATGTGTAAAAAAAAAATTAAAAATCTTATGAATTATTATATTATCCTCAACTTAACACTCAGCAAAATACTGTAAGCTATACAGACATCAAATAATATATATTCACCTTAAGTGAGTAATCACAGAAAAATTAATACTATATATATAGTACATGACAGTTACATCATTTATAATATGTTCTTTGTCTAAGATGCTAATCAGAAAGGACTTTAATTCCTTTTATCTGCATTTTTAAAATGTATTCCTACTGCCATACACTGCATAAACAAATGCAAACTACTACTGTGTTAAAAGAGAATCACGACTGATTGATTCAAAATAGACACATGCAAGAAATTGCTTGCTAAATTTTTTCAACTGATTATGACTGTCGATGACTTTCATCAACATCTTACAACAATCTGTATTTCAGTTGTTTTTATTAATAAATTCATTTTTAATGAAAAAACGTTTTGCTTTAGTAATTTCCATGACAAATGTGATGAGTAAAGAACATGCATTAAATTTTATTTTTGGAATTTCTGCTAAAAAAACATTTGAAATGTTATCAAATACCTTTGAGGAAAATATTTCATCAAAATCAAGAGTCTGTTTAGTAACACAGATTTTTAAGGAATCCAGAAAATGTGTTAAAAATATACACAGTCTGGTAAACAATCAACTAATGAACAATATGTCAATGAAACTAGATTTTGTGATTTAAAAATTATTGTTTAATAACTAGAGATATTATGAATTTAATTTCTGATAAATTTTGCAGGAAAAAGTGGGTGTTTCCATTCACAAATTTCAAATTTTTTTCACTGTAACCATAACTATGACAGCTTTATCGTTTTAAATCTTCACAATCTTGAACACATACTTTCAAATGATAATATGTGAAAATTCATTTCGATTGGTTGGGGATAGCTGCTAGAGGTTCATATATCAGAGAAGTTTTCTCATGACCACCTTGTATTTTGCTCTGTGTTAATAGTATATACACACTTAGGCCAATGAATTAGAAACCCAAGATCAATATTTTATTGGGTCTCCTTTTGCAGGGATAACTGCTCTGATTCATTCGGGCATCAAGGCTACATTCTTCTGAAGTGCATTTACGCCCAGAGAATACCATGCATGGCTATGCAGCTTTTTAGAAATTAGTTGGAAGAGGAGAGTGCTATAGCATGTGTCTTTCCACCATATTCTACACATTTTCTATGGGGTTAAGATCCGGGCTATGCGGTGGCCACAGAAGGTGTTGGAAGTCAGACTGATGTTTAGCGAACCAATTTTGAACACTTCTGGCATGATGCATAGTTGCATTACTGTCCATGAAATATCCATCGCTATCAGGGTAATAAAAATGCAACACTACAGGGTGCACTTTATCTACCAGTATATCTAGGTATCTCATGGCTGTTTGTTTACCTTAAGGAACATCAGGGCACCCCTTCCACGCCAGCAGAACATGCCCCATATCATGATACTGCCACCAGACCTTTGCGCAGAGCGAATAAGGCAAGATGGCTTCATAGCTTCACGGGGCTCTCACCAAATTTGGTGTCTTTCATCATTGCAAAATAAGGTGTAGCATGATTCATCCAACCATATTACATGTTTTCCAATTCTCAGATGTCCAGCGTCTTCTTTCCCGACACCACTGCAAACGGATTCTTGCACGTAGGGTAGAAATGAAAGGAAGCTATAGTCAGTTGCCTGTGAATGGTTTTCTCACAGGCAACCGACTATTGATTCCTATCCTCTGCAAGTCTCTGTGTATGGTTCGAACTGAAATCTGTTGGAAAGAGCCTTGGTTGATGATCTGTGTCAGTTGAAGCACAGTAGAGTCCCTGTTCTGCTGTAAAATTGTCTTAGACACCACTGATCACTGTATTGGAAAACTGTGCTCAAACCGCAGTTAAATCTTCTAGATAAGGACTCTGGGTTCTGATTCCAACTTTTGAAAAACCCAGTGAGATTGCTGTCTTTGAAATTGAGACCTCAGCTAAACGGACACTAACAATAAGCCCTTTTCCAAGTGGTGAAAGATCTGTGTTTTTCCCATTTTACTTCATTCACCATGAAAAGCACTCTTACACCTTACTTAGACTGGCATTCCAACCATGTGTAACCCATGTCATAAAAAAAATTTGCAGACTTCATCCCTAGCATGCAGTCAAATGAAAATCTCAAAGGTTTCTAATTCATTGGCTAGTGTGTGTATAAAGGAAAAGAAAAAAAAAAAAAAAAAAGTTAAAAAATTTCTTAAAAATAATAACAATAAATATTTAAAAGTTTGCAATAGGATAAACTATAAATTAGACATAGTTTCGTATTAGATGCCAACCAACACCAATGATTATAAGTTACGGAGTGCCTATGGTTCAAAACCATGTACCTCCACATTAGAAAAATATCTAAGTAGTGAGCAGAAATAGGAAAATTGCATAATTGGTTATCATGATGCACACTAGCTTGAGAAAGTTTAGGGATAGGAAAAATCAAGTTTAGATTTTTTTGGAAGTTTTATGATTTTAAATTTTTATTTTATTTTATTTTATTTATTTATTTATTTATTTAAATTTTATGACACATAAATATGACACTAAAGCAAAAAGCATAAAGGGAAAATTTTACAGATTAATAGGCTCATTGGCATATGGCACTAATCATAGTGAAGTAAAGATTAAATTTTCGCGACGAAATATCCAGGGCAGCGCGCATGATGTGATTAAATAGTGAACAGATTGATAAGAATGCAGAAGTGGCCACTTTTCAGTAATACTGGAGTAGAAGAATGATAGAGCAATTACATAGCTAAGTACGTCCTTCATGGGCCGGACGCTGGAACTGAGAACAGAGGGGCGTGTCTACGCATTTTAGCTGGAGGATAGATGCCGTATTCACGTCCCATGATGGAGTAAGGTCTTTTCTGCAAGCTGCAAATAGCAGGATCGTAGACCGGTAACTGTTGAAGTGCACGGTTATCAGTCTGCTCAATTTTGAGGAATAAATTTTGACTAAGTTTTTTAATAACAACATCTATGGGTTTAATGTTAAGATCCGAATGAATCACATCAGTACAAACATAATAGGCTGCATTAAGGACTAAATGCAGGGTCTTACTTTGGAAGCCTTGAAGTTTTTTTATGTGTGTTTTTCCAGATGGTGCAAGCATACAAAAATATTGGTGAAATGATGGAAGTATAGAGAAGAGCTTTGTTTTTGATTGACAGAGGGCTCTTTCGGCCTAGAAGGAAGTAAAGTAGGGTTCTGATGGTTTTCGCTTAATTGAGCGTATAATCAATATGAAGACGTCAGATTAATTTGGAATCAAGTATCACTCCTAGATACTTATATGAATTTGACCAGGGGACATAGTCATCGAAGAACTTTATATTAATGGTAGGGTACATGATTCGGTAACGTGTGAATATCATGGCAGCACATTTAGTGACGTTAATTTTGATTTTCCAAGTAATGAACCAATGCTCAAAGCTATGGAGATAACTCTGAATATTGTGAACCAGAACATTGAAATGTTTGTGTTTTGTTAGGATGGCCGTGTCATCTGCATAGAGTGCTAGAGTAACATTCAGTGATTTTGGAATGTCGCTGATAAAGATGTTGAATATAGTCGGTCCAAGTAGACTACCTTGAGCTACGCCACTTAGGATTGGACGGGGAGCCGTATTGATAGAATTAACTCATACTGAAAAAGAGTGATTAGTGAGATACGAGTTAATTATGTGAATAAGTTGAGCCAGAATACCAAGTTGCCTGAGCTTGATAATAATACCTGTATGCCAAGTCCTATCAAATGCTTTGGCTATGTCAAGAAAAAGGGCGCTAATAAGCATTTTGCTATGAAAGCCTTCGTGAATAAACTCCACTGTCCTCAAAAATGTTGTGCAGTGTTTTGTTCGGAAACCAAAGTGCTCGTCAATAACGACTTTTTGGGTCCAGAGAAAATCATTCAGGTGTTTAAGTAGCACAAATTCGTAAATCTTTGATAATGAAGATAGGAGGCTGATAGGTCTATAATTTTGAGGATTTGAATGGCACTGGCCAGGTTTCAGAATAGGCACCATAAGTGCTCTCTTCCAGCTTTGAGGAAAATAGCAATGCAGTAACATATAATTTATGAGCATTACTAAGAAAAATAGATAGCTGGTGGGTAGGTATTTAACCATGCGGTTAGAAATAGTCCAATCCAGGCACTTTCTTAAGATTTAATTTAGCGATGTATTCGCTAACTTCGTGCATGGTTGTATATTGTATGTCTCTCTGACATGAAGAGTTTAGAAATCTT